TGGCAAGCATCCGAAAATCGCCTGACACACGGACGCTCCTTATAAATCCAGGCGTAGTTGACGTACCAGTTAATTGTTCTAGGGTTTGGAGACAGAGTCCTATTGACGAATGCTAATTTTGCCAAACGCATTTATCTCCACCGCCACTCACCGGCAGACGGCCGGAATAGCTACTCTACACCCCTGTTCTCTCCTGCCGCGGAGCACCTGAATCCAGTCTCCGCATGGAGCCCGTGATGACCAACCACCGTTTGCTGGCAGACACAGTCTACCCTCCGCCTTGTCCGTTGCCGCTGCCTCCTCATTGCGAGCGCCTGAGTGATTGTAGGCGTCTCGCAACATTTGCCTTCTCGACGACAAACGTAACAGGAAGTGACGCGGGGAGGACCCATCCTCCACGGCCGCCCCTGCCGTCGTGGGGTCGCAAGGCCGCCGAAGGTGTCCCTCGACAGGCGCTTCGCGGTCCTGGCACTCGATCGGCTGCAACAATGTTACCCCTACCATCCCACATCGTTTGTCGGCGCCAAGAGCGCATTCCCATCCCAAGCCATCCACGGGGGCATCCGGTGAGCTGGCTTCGTTGCCCTGACGAAACGAACCCGGAGCTAACGCAGGGCAATTTACAGCATCCAACGATAACTCCGAGCCGAAGGAAGTTGGAAGATCAAAGACAACTCGAGGAGAGACTTCTTGTTCGGGAGCCTTCAGCAAACTCGAGGTGCACGTCAACCTCTCCCTTCCCCAACATAACTCGCCCCCTTCTTTGACGGCATCTCCCATAACAGTTTCCTTTTCGCTACCCAAAGTTGAAGACACCAACCCGTCCGCCGGGAATTGAGTCGCACGCGCCGGGAAACCAACGGGATGGGAGTTTCTCGCCACCAGGTTTGCAGACCTTCTCCCGCGGCGCACAGAATCGACTGCTTCGTGCCTGGCGTCGGCTAGGAACGGGTGCTCAAGGAGCTGGGAAGCAGACCACCTGCGGGACGGCTCTCGTACAAGGCACTTGGAGAGAAAGTCTTTGGCCTCTGATGACAAATGCGGGGGGAAAGCAGGGACTTCGTTGGTGCAGGCAATGCGAAACAGCGTTGACATCGTGTCCTCCACATCCGACCACGGCGCTCTGCCGGTGGCCATCTCGATCACGGTGCATCCTAACGACCAAATGTCCGCAGACCCTTCTAGCGTGTCGCTCTGGCTGGCTATCTCGGGAGCCATCCACTGAACGGTTCCTGCGAGGCGTACGGGACGTCCTGGGCATGCTCCGCCATCCTCCTTCGATTCAGAGACAATCTGAGTGGACGGATCCTGCGATTGAC